GTAACCAGAAAAGCAGGCTCGCTGTTCCTTACTACAGCTGTTTCCCCAGCTGCCTCTGCATCTTTAAGCCAGGCAGCAAGACCTCCTAGCCTACTCAGCAGGACCACATCCTCAAAGACGAAGGCAAAAGAGACGCAACGCAAAATCCCCCCAAAACAACGACAAATTGTTAAGTTCCAGAGGAAAAATCTACCTAGGCAACAAGGCAGCTAATCAGAGGAGAGATTATTCAAGCAACCCACCTACTCATAGAGATATCTTCCAGGGTGAAGACTGTCATGTTTATGGGTAACGCAATTTCAGAAGTTAATGAAAAAGTGATTCAAAAGGAATGCAAGAAAAAAAGGAATGCATGCTTGCATTCAAAAATGAGGGCATCAAACAAGACACTAAGCAAGACTGACAAATCTTTGCTATGTGGTAATATTCTATTCTCTGTATTAAGCTGTAAGCAAAGGGCAGCAACGACCTTCAACACAGGCCTCTGCTGGGCAGGCCGGGGTCCAGCTGAGAGCCAGACTCACTCCCCCAGCTCCCAGCCAGGGCTGGAGAAGGAAGGAGCGGGTGCTTCAGCTGAGGCCGCAGGGAGGTTTAGATAGGGCGGGAGAAGGCAGCATCCCCGAGGGGTGAGAGTGCCCAGCACAGGCAAAGGCCCAGGGCTTGCCTGCTGAAACATCGCCATATGCTGCTTTCTCCTCCCTGTCGTAACAAAGACTAACAATGTTGTGTTTCATCAGAACACACTCATCACAGATTTGGAGTTGACATGTTTATGTAACCTTATGAAAAGTGCATAAAACTGGACAACCATCTGTCCCCAATAAATTTTAGGGCCTAAGGTGAACTATTCATATCAGATCACAAATATGAAAGACCCGGCATGGAGAAGATAATCAGTAAATGAATATGTCTCTCTCTGTGCCTCCGCCTCTGTCTCTCTCACACCCCACACCCCCCACCACCACACAGGGACTGCATTTTTTGGCCAGATCATTTGCTTATAAATGTCCAAATTTTTCAAATGAGGGCATCCACCCTTTTGGACATCCAGGCCAGCGCAGACAGTCCCCTCTCCTGCCGCCAGCAAATGGGGTCAGCCACCCAGCCCCTCCCCAGGGAGAGGAACAGGAGAATATTGCTGGGTTTCCAAACTGGATAGAAAGAATGTGGGCTTCCCTTTTCAATACCAGGGTCAATCTTCCACAGTGTGAAATATTGAAAATATGGGTGCCCTAGAATAGCCACCGCTATTTAAAACCTGATAGAATACTTCAGAGCTAAGGATGAATCATACCGATAACTATTCTCCAATGAGGTTTTAAACAAAGTCATATCAGTGAACCAGTATCTCTTAATACCCAGATAAATAAGAGATAGTGGGAATAATTCCTGTTTTCCTTTGACTACAATTTTTTAACATAAATTTGTTTTTATTATCTTAAATATAAAGAATATATGAAAATCACTTAGGAAACTGAGGTTAGGGCAAAATCAAAGAAATGACTGCAGGATATTGTGAGATGCAAAAGTTTAGAAACCACTACCATAAGGACTGAGAATGCAGAAAAGGGAAAAAACACATACATACATATATATAAAGTAAATTAATTCACAGGAATTTCAAGTTAATTTTTTAAAAGTCTAATAACCTTTTTTCTGTCACACCATACACAATTTAACTGGGGAATTACAGCTGGTCATTTGATCTTCAGAGGTAGACTCACAAAGTTTAAATTAAGAAACAAATCGAACATTTGGAAAAGCAAAAAGGCTCCTCTTTCTAGCCTCAATAGGGAGAAAGCAGAAAGTGCCACAGTCAAATTAGCTTAAGCTTTCATAATGAGTGGGCTGAAATTACTAGACGGATTGGTTCGTTTGAACTACTTTCTTCCCTTATTACAGAAACAATATAGGCTCAATATAGAAATTTAGAAAAGACGATTGAGCATAAGAATAAAATACAAACTATCCATAGAATGGCACTCAGAGATAGCCAGTTTGCATTAGTTTTGACCAATCTCATTTCACAGTTAAATTTTAAAAATTAATATATTTGATTTTAAATAAAATTATATGTATCTGTTTTTGATTATCAACTAATCCTTTTTAAAAATCTTTAGTAACTCTCACAATGCCTGCCTCATAGTATGTACCAAATAAATGCACAGAAGTACCCAGAATATACTGACTTATCCTCTTTATTTTCCACCTTTTAAACTTCTATGATTTCAGTGACGATGCTGTCTTCCAAAGACAAACTGACAAACGCTCAGGAAGCTCCTCTCCTAATGCTTTCAGAAGTCCATTTTATTACCTAAAATAACCACACTGAAATTATAAAATTAATCAGAAATATAAGAATTACTGCTTAATATGCACAGGGCACATCTGCTGAATAGGAAACATATTTTTGTCTATGCTAAGTACAAAATATATTGCCGTCATAAAAGGCCAAAAATGTAGTTGAGGGCCCAGCCCGGTGGCGCAGTGGTTAAGTTCGCGCCCTCCGCCTCAGCGGCCCGGGGTTCGCAGGCTCGTATCCCAGGGGCAGACCTAGCACCACGTGTCAAGACGTGCTGCAGCAGCGCCCACAGAAGGTGAGGAAGATGGGCACGGGTGTTAGCTCAGTGGCCAGTCTTCCTCAGACAGACACACAAAAAACGTAGTTGATGTAGGGAACTGATTACACTGAATCAAAATTAAATTTTAAGCATCATTTAAATTGATTTAATTCAAATAAAATTCACCCAGTCGCTAGTAACTAATAAACTGAACTCTAATGACTCATATTCAGGAAGCAATGTTTAGCTTCATAGTCAAAGTTTTAAATCAAACTAGAGCAGTCTTACTCAAATTTTTTCAGGTATCAGAGTACCTGGAACTCAGCACTTTTTATAAACCACCTAAAACACTGATTAAGCTTCAATACTATTAAATAAAGAACTTTTTGCAAAATCAGACTCCTGCTTACACTAAGTTTTATTATATATACCTGAGAAAAATTATGGGTGGGGTTGAGCGAGTATGAACCACTGTTTGATTTTAGTAGCAAAACTCAGTTCAGGTTACACTTCCCAAGGATAGTTTGGGAAGCACTCAACTAGAGCTATTAACAGCCACATTTATATGTGCAATTTAAATCAGATCTGCTAATGCCTTTTCAAGGTTTAAAAATGCCAGCAGCACCTAATAACCTGCTCAATTATCACCCACCTCTGAGTTGCTTTGTCTTCTGCCTTCAGAACACAGACGGGCCCTAAGGACCGCGGAGCTCCTGCGGTGCTGACACCCCTCTCCATCGCTGACTCTCGTAGGGGGCCTGAGCACCAAGAGCGGTCACTGAAGATCCCACCTGCCTTCACCTGCACCCTGACTTCCCTAACTTCTCAAATCCTCACTGGTCTTTGATTTTCTGAACTACTGGGGCTCCCATCCCAGAAGACTATGACAGCATCTTGTTTGCTTGGGTAATTGTCTCTGTCCTCACCGCACCAACTTCAGAGAGGTGAGCACACGCAAACACATTCCCTTTCAGTGCCAAACACACACAGCGCCACGCAAGAACTCAACAAACACTGGCCAGCTGTGAACTGACTCAGGGACGTCTGGGAGATTTCTGAGGCTTTACTCAGTTCTCCTTCCTTGTGAATAGTTCCTTCAACTCCAAAAGTAGTATTCTTTACCTGACAAAACTTTCTGTGTGCCTTGTTTGTCTTCCAGTTTATTTTCAACTCCTACAACGCTGGTATGTCAGGGCCTCCAGAGGAGAAAATGCAGTGATAGAAAGTCAGCCCAACGGTGGGGGCGAGGCAGGCGGTCAGGCCGGGAGCTCTGACCCTGCCATGGACAGCAGGAGGAAGGCAAGCAGCAGCCCGGCTCTTCTAAGAAAGCAGGCAGCTCCGGGAAACTCAGAGCTGCCCTTCCTCTCTCCCTCCCTCCCTTCCTTTCTTCTTTTTCAAAAAAACATTAAAAGGTATGTATATGTGAACATCATTTGACAAAGCTGCCAAATTGAATAATTTGGCATATGTTATGTGACAAATTGAAATGGCAAGCAATAGGATATATTGGAGTATATGAGGAAGCCATTTGGTATGAACCTAATTCAGCCTGACTTTGTTTTATCCAAAAGGGCCTGACCGTGGCCATTGAGCATGCATTGTGTATCTGCTTAGACATTTTGAGATAAAGGTGCAACTTCCCTCCCCCTCCCAACGTTGGCATCTCCTTAAAGATTAAGCATCTTTCTTTAGGCTGGGAACCGACTGCAGCGCTCATCTGTGCCCGCCCAGCTCAAGGCAACAGACCTGCCACCCTGCGGGGTTCACTGAGACAGCAGGCCTATCTGCTGTTTCCATCAATCGCTGTGCCAACAGAGTAGCCTCGTGACTATCGTGAAAGGGACATTTCAATCATATGTGAAACATCCTCTTTGAGGGTATACAACCACCCTGTATACCCCCACTTCTTTGGAGTGCTCTGTTCCTTTGTGGAAAGACTCTCCCGGGTTATAATCCTCAGATTTAAGCTCAGAATAAACTCACCCAAATTTTCATTTATAGATTGGTTATGGGTTATTTTCGTCGACATATGTTATGACATATTGTTCACCTGAGAGAAGGTATTTCATTGAGGAATAACTACAGGAAAACGGAGATAATACTGTTATAATAATACCATTACTACCATATCTTTTTAACTGTCCCCACAGGAACAGAGTTGTATGGGTTTGGGTAAAACAAAAGACTATGAAATAAAAAAATTTTTTAAAAAGGTATCTACCTATTTATCTGCTTTATATTGTAAATTTTCATGATAAATCAAGGTTTATATATGTTTTACACTTTTATAAATTTAACATGCCACAAAATTTTTAAAAATAAGTCTCTGAGAAGTGTATCTATATATTCAAATTACAAAGCCAATTTTTATAACATGGTGTTGGTTCAAAAAAGAACAAGAAACACATCAAAAACAAGGAATCACACCTTTTAGCTTACCATATATAGGGGAAAATGTGAAGTAGTTCAGCTGACAAAGATTATAGGCTTCAACTCTAACATCTTTCCAGATGCCCTGGGTAGGAAAGGAGGGCCCCCAGTCCCAACCAAAGGAACACTGCTCCTGTAATTTCAAAGTGAAGGAAAAAAAAGAAGATTCTGATTACCATAACTAACATTTAAACATTATGAAATACCTTTTCTTTTAAAATATTATAAACATATCTATCTGCTATTTGCTAGGACTCCTACAACAAAATCCCACAGACTGGGCAGCTTCAACAACACGAGTTTACTTCCTCACAATTCCGGAGGCTGGAAGTCCAAGATCAAGGTGCTGCCAGGTGTGGCTTCTCCCGCAGCCTCTCCCCTGGGCCTGCAGGCGGCCGGCTTCCCGCTGTGCATCCCAGTGTCCCTCCGTGCTGTCCAAATGTCCTCTTCTTCAAGGACATCGTTCACACTGGGTCGGGGCCACCTTAACGGTCTCATTTTAACTGAATCGCCTCTTTAAAGACCTTCTTTCTAAATAGTGTCAGGACTTCAACATAGGAGGTTAAGGGGCACATAATCAAGTCCGTCATAGTGTGTGTGTGTGCGTGTGCGTGTTTGTGCCCCATATACAGCATCTGAAATGGCCCACAACAATCCCCTCCTGGTATACATGTCCTTGTGTAATCCCCCCACAGACGATAGATTAGACCTAGTGAATCACTTCTAACCAACGGAATACAGCAGAGGTGACAGCACTTCCAAAACTAGGTTATAAAAGACCGCACCTTCTGTTTGGCGCACCCTCTCCCACATTCCTTTGGTCAAGGTGGAAGCCAGCTGCCAGGCTGTGCGGCAGCTCTGTGCAAAGCGCACATAACTGAGCTCAGAAGCCAATCGGAGGCCTGCCAGAAACCACATGAGCAAGCAGAGGCACAGACCCTCCAGGCCTGGTTGAGCCTTGAGAGGACCACAGCCCCAACCCACAGCTTGATCGTAACCTCTTGAGTGACCCTGAGCCAGAGGCACCCCACTAGGCCACACTCGGATTCTGGGCTCACAGAAACTGTGAAAAGAAATTTTTTTGGGGTGGGGAAGATTAGCTCTGAGCTAACTACTGCCAATCTTCCTCTTTTTGCTGAGGAAGGCGGGCCCTGAGCCAACATCCGTGCCCATCTTCCTCTACTTTATACGTGGGACGCCTACCACAGCATGGCTTTTTGCCAAGCGGTGCCATGTCCGCACCCGGCATCCGAACCGGTGAACTCCAAGGTGCTGAGAATCGGAATGTGCGAACTTAACCACTGCACCACCAGGCCGGCCCCCAAAAATGTTATTTTAAATTGGTAAGTTTTGGCATAAGTTGTTAGAAAGCAATAGATAAGTAATACAATAACTAATATATCAACCTATGCAACATAGTTAAATTTGGCAGAAATGTTCTAAGAACATAAAATCTAATTATGTACATTTATTCCTCAAAAGCATATTACATTGAAGCAACACAATAGTTACTCTTTAAATTTCTCCAAAATATTTCTGAGCCTATCATTGTATTTAAATATAATAACTATAAGAATATCGTATTTAAATGTAATAACTATAAAGAAGGAGGAAACAAATTGAAAGATAAAGATATTTATAAGTAGGTTTAAGAAACTCCAGCTAGACTTGCCAACCCCTGTTTCCTGCAGTGTGAATTCAGAAGTCATGAGTTCTGAACTTACAGCCCAAAAACTACCAGTTTAAACTTCAGACACCGACAGGGGTCCAGGGTGGACGTCTCACCCGATCTCGCTCAGCCTGGCTCCACGCCTCCCTTCAGATGCTCGATTTCCTATTAATTTACAGAGATTCAAATTCAAAAGTAGAAGATGGGTCCCTTAAAACAAATCCTGTTTCAAGCAGAAGTTTTTGAATTTCTACCTCTTAAAAGAAAAAACAATTTTTCAAAACACAGTTAACTAAAATTTGTGAGCGGGAGCATGGCACCGCTCATCAGGCCATGTTGAGGCAGCGTCCCACATGCCACAACTAGAAGGATCCACAACTAAAAATAGACAACTATGTACCGGGGGGCTTTGGGGAGAAAAAGGAAAAATAAAATCTTTGGGGAAAAAAAAGTGTGTGAGGCTGTAAGTTCAGCTTTTAAAAAGGAACCAGCGCCAAGAGGAAGTCCTGAGAACTTTCTGAATGGAGCATGTGTAGACTAGAGCCTGAGGATTTGGCCAAACTGTTCTCATAATAATAAGTATTATTTCCTAAGCTCTGTATTTATCAAAGATATAAATTAATTTCCATTACAGAGAAAAAGAATTAAAACCACTTCATAGCATCTGCATCTGTCTAAATTCACCACTTAAGTATCAGATTCCCGTGTTCAAAATGAAAACCATCTTGAGAATATATACTGGAGAGTGTGTTAAGTTCAGATATGTAATTCTTTTATCAGGGATAGGGAGGAGGAGGGCAGAAATATTCAACATCTTCCAAGGCCGACTATTTTCCCCATCAAGGGCTACAAATCACTCCTATTCATATAACCTCTCCAAATAAAAGTTTCCACTCATTCAAAAAATATTTGTGAAAAGCTTTCTATGTTTCAGGCCGGGGGTACATTAATACACAAAACCGACACAGTCCTTCCGCTCATAATGCTCACAGTACAGCAAGAAATTCAGGCATGAATCACAAATGCAAGGGAAACAGACACGGAACATATAATAGGAGGAGGAGAGTGTCAAGACAGGTTTCCCTGAACAACAGTGACCTTACACGGAGGCTTGAAGGGTGAGTACCAACAGTCCGAGGTGTTTAGGGGAGATGGAAGTGAAAGCACCCCTTTCAGAAGGGAGAGCAAGGGCAAAGGGCTCAAGGTGAGGAGAAGAGGATGCATTCCAGGAGATGAAGACAGAAGGATGGGAAGAGTGGGGAATAAGACCGGAGAAGTGGGCACGGGGCAGACAGAACTAAGAACTCTGGACTTCAGCCCAAAGGCAATGAGAAACTGTTAAAGAGTTTTAAGAAGGGGAGTGCTGGGATGATTTCTGTCTGAAAAGAACATTCTGGCTGCTCTGTGAAAAATGAACTGGAGGAAGGCAAGTGAGGTTGTTAGGAAACCAGTTAGGCAGCCAGGGCAATAGTCCATGCAAGAAAAGATGACACACTGAATTCAAGAATGGTAGTAGAAAGGAGCGTGGGAAGATTCAAGAACTATTGATGAAGTCACAGCCATAACATCAAAAGGACTTAGTGATGGATTGGAGGAGGGAAAAAGAGAAAGAGGTATCGAAAATAACCCTTAGGTTTCTGGCTTGAGCAACTGTTGTGGATGGTATTCCACTCTGCAAGACAGGGAGCCCTGGGAGAAGGGTTCAGATCCCAAGGGCAGTGTTGGACACAATGAGCTGTAGGGCCCCATGAATCAGGCACGTGAAGATGCCACACAGGCAATAGAGCATAAGGTCTGGAACTGAAGAGAGGTCTGGATGAAGACACACTATGAGGAGTCACTGAAAATGTGACTGGTTATCGCAGAAATGAGATAGGCGACAAGAGGGTATAAAATGAGAGGAGAAAAGTGTCTAGAACAGAGAGAGGCCTGAAACGACTTCTAACAGGAGGAGGTTGATTATATTAAAGACATTTAGAAGGAACAGCCAGAGATGTAAGTGGAAAACAAGAAGGATGGTGTAGGGGGGGGCCGGGGGGGGGGGGGGGCGCGGGGCTGAAGTGATGGGTCTCACCACCCAAGCTAGATAAGCAAGATAGGAGAGACAAGAGGAGGCTTGTACTGAAATGGAGAAAGCAGAAGGGTCAAAAAACTGATGGAGAAAATGCTCCCGAGGAGAAGATGAAAAAAGTAAAATTTAACTACTGAACATGTTCCCAGGAATTCAAGCAGCTGAGTCAACAAAGAGCCCACGACGAAAGACTCCGTGCTGATCCCATAAGGAAAGTGAGAAAGTGCACAAGGACTACAAGTTTTACAGCACTGCCTGTCAAACCTGAATAGAAAATATGCCCTGGCAAGTGACGAATCAACTAAGTAAATTCCTTATTCACAGGAAGTCAAGAGTTCAGAAACAAGAGACTAATCCTTAAGAGAGAAACTGTCTGAGAACCTATAGCATAAATGTGAGGACCGGTTCCTCTCTCTCAGCTCTTCTCTGAGTGAAAGGGCACACATCTTCCTGAACCTTCATGGCGCGGTGGCTGCAGACCTTTGACTACAGGAGGCAGACGGAAAGAGGGAGGCGGATATTCTCTTTCCTGTACATTCCTGGAGGAGCCAAGAGGTACACGAGGGGTTCAGGTATCAATAAAATATAAGGGCCATACAGCACATTTAACAAACAGCAGAGACTTGCATTTAGCAAATGAGAGAAGAAATAATGCAATACTATGAAAACCTAGCGTCCAAAGAACTTCCTTATCAAGATGGCAGCCGTGGGGCTGAGAGCACCCGAGCAGCGCTTTCACTGCACTGCACAAGCACGTCTCACATCTCCACATGGATTCGTTTTGCTACAGTTGAACGTCCTGTAAACACGCCTCCTCTTCTTCAACCGTAAATATCCAGCATCTCACTTACTGCCCCCACGCCCCCACCAAAAAAAAAAACAGATGGAGAGTAACACTTCCTCTTTATACCTCACTCCCCACCTCTATCCCACTCACTTCATATAAGCTAAGCTGAGGCCTTTTGTCTGTTACACACCTAGAAGTATATAATTACAGAAATAAGTCTCCAAACTAAATACTATCACCACTCTACATTTTGAATAGCTGTACAGCACTTTACATCATTATTTCTTTTTTTAAAAAATCAGCAGAGGAACCAGTTTTGTTGTAATTGTTGTTTTTATTTTTTCTTTTTTTAGTGAGGAAGATTGGCCCTGAGCTAACATCTGTACCAATCGTCCTCTTTTTGCTTGAGGAAGACTGTCACTGAGCTAACATCTATGCCAGTCTTTCTCTATGTTGTATGTGGGATGCCACCATAGCATGGCTTGATGAGCAGTGTGTAGGTCCACACTCAGCATTTGAACCGGCGAACCCTGGGCCCCTCAGCAGAGCAGGGGAACTTAATCACTCTGCCACCGGGTGGTCCCTACATCATTATTTCACTGTATCTTCATACCAACACAATCAGGAAGGAAGGGAAGGGCTTAGCTCCATATACAGATGATGGACTGCCTAAGATCACTCTGGGTTTAGAGCCAGAATTCAGATCCAAGATTCCTGACTTGGTCTCCAGCTCAAGTCTTTTCCCACCGGACCACGTCAATCTAGCCAGGACACCAAGATGCAGCTCATTATTCTGGCAAGTTCCCAAGATTAGTGTTCCACACACTGTGAGAGCAGACACCCAGGTCTGACTCCTGATTTCAGTGACAAGGGACTTTGCTCTATCTAGATCATCTGGAAGCACATTTTAAATGCTACAAATTGAATAGGGGGTAGAGGGAAAATACTACACAGATATATGTATAACATATATGTATATCTTTACTGATGACTGGAAAAGTAAACTTTCCACATTATGATCCAAGAAGTCCTCGTTTTGATAGAAGGTTAAAGATGGAAGAAGAGAGGGGAAAAGTACAACCTCTCGTATTCAAACCACTGTGCCATTTGAAGCCAAAGGCAAAAAACAAAAGATGAATTTTATACAGAAGTATAAGTACACAAGTATTCCAGGGAACACCTCTGCTAAGCTACAGACTGTTCAGTTACAGTAACACAAACAACCGGTTACTGAGACACTGACACAAACTGGCAGAGGTTGAATCAAACAGGGGAAGGCATAATTTTGACCTTAGTACTTATCTTAAGGAAATATGATTTAATGGTAGGTCTATCAGTCTAAAGAGAGCCACTTAAATAATTAGCATTTATCAACTGAGGTTTTAGATAACCAGTGCTAGAAAAATACACTTAGTATCTTCACAATGAAACCAACGATTACCTTTGTTGTTAAAACTAAATGTCACTTACTCAAAAAATTAAAAATAGAATTACCATAAAATCAAGTAATCTCACTTCTTGGTATATATCCAAAAGAATTGAAAGCAAGGTCTCAAAGAGATATTTGTATATCTATACATAGCAACATCATTCTCAACAGTCAAAAGGTGGAAGCAACCCGATATCCAGTGACAGATGAATAAATAAACAAAATTTTGTGGTATGTACATACAATGGAATATTATTCAGCCTTAAAAAGAAAGGAAATACTGACACATGCCACAATATGGATGAACTTTGAGAACACCATGCAAAGTGAAATAAGCCAGTCACAAAAAAACAAATACTCTTTGATTCCACTTATAAGAGGTAGTTAGAGGAGTCAAACTTGTAGAAACAGAAAGAATGGTTGTTGCCAGGGGCAGGGGGGAGGGAAAAATAGGGAGCTGTTTTCCAGGGTAGAGAGTTTCAATTTTGCAAGATGAAAAAGGTCTGGAGACTGGCTTCACAACAATGTGAAAATACTTAATACTATTGAAATGTACACTTGAAAATTGTTCAGATGGTAAATTCTGTGTTATGTGTACTCTACTGCAATTAAAAAATTTTTGAATAAAAAACTAAATGTCACATAGAATACTAATTCAACCATGTATTACAATAAATCCAAGTCATCTAGACTGAGATCAGACTCAGAGAAAAATAATCACCTTCTGGATTTTCTCTTTGTTAGATTTTATGAGAACCTACAATAAAATGTAAGAACATGTCAGCAAATATACTAATATTTGCAGAAGACTTCATAGTAACAAGAATCACTAATATATATGAACCTTACAGTCTGGTGAAAAGTTTGATAAAACTAAATGTTAAAAAATAATTTGTAAAGTTACAGTATCAGTCACCTAGTTTTCTTCTTTTCCTGATATTACCTAAATTCCGAAGCCTGCTTCAAGAAGGAAACCTAGAAAGACAAAGATTTTCCACAAAAATTCATATAATCTTTTGATTCTTATTCCAAATTTTCAAATCCCACTAAGGGGGCAGGACAGAGATGCCCAACTTAGGAAACACCATTGGAGCCTTCAAACAAGCATTTCCTGTGCACGCACAGCCCATCCCCAGGGCTAGAGCCCCAGCCATTTGCGAGACCTTTACCTTTCGAATAAAGTTGACGTGGCATTCGCCCTTCTGGACGAGCGGAGGGCAGTCTGGGGGCACCTCGTAGCGAGTGTGAGCCTTGCTCTGCTGGGCCGCATACAACACTGGGGACTGGAAACGGAGCTCAATGGAGTTCACGTCCCTAACCACATTGGTAACATCGAAGCTCTGAATTAAAGGGAAAGAACAGATATGGAAGCAGCCTTGCATGTGAAATTTTAGATACAGACAGAATGTATGAAAGATACATAAAAGAACTGAAATCTTTAAGTTTATCCTTTTTGCAGGAGAAAGCACTTCTCTGAAACAGTATAACTTAGTTGCCTACACGTAGTTCTTTTTTTTTTTTATTGAGTTAACATTGGTTTATAACATTATATAAGTTTCCGGTGTACATCATTACATTTCAATTTCTGCGTAGATTACATCATATGCACCCCACAAAGACTAATTACAATCCATCCCCACACACATGTGCCTACCCACCCCTTTCGCCCTCCTCCCTCCCCTCATCCCTTCTGGTAACCACCAATCCAATCTCTGTCTCCAAGTGACTGTCCGTTGCTTTTATCTTCTACTTATGCCTACTCTCAGTTCTAACTGAGCACATAGGTTTCTCTTGCTATTTTTACTGACAGATGAGGTCCTAGCAAACAGAGTGATCAGAAAATAGCTTTAGCCCTGGAATGTCTGCACTGGCTATTTACATACAGCCTTGAACTGCCAAGGACTTCCTAGATTCTTCAGGACAACCACTCTCTGGGAGGAACAGCGTGTATTTCTGTCATAAGTTACTTTTGTTTGAAAAGTCTACCCTTGAAATAGATGGGGGGGTCAGAATACAATCTCTTATGGTAATTATTCCAGAAAACAAGGAGCATTTTCTTTTAAAATAGTCTGTCTATTGTCATTTCCCATGAAACTCTGGATCACAAATAAGGCAGAAGGGAACAGCATTTATTGAACACTTCTCACATGCCAAGAACTGTGCCAATCATTTTAGATAATGAGTTTATAACTCCATAGGGTCTGTGGTGTTTTCACCATTCTACAACGTGGCAACTGAGAAATAAAGTAAGTTACTCAGAGCTTCAAAGAGCTTGGACTGGCTTGCACAGGCAATGATGCCCTTACCTTTCTCTACTCACAATGGCAGTTAGGCCAGAAGTGGAGTTTTAACCTGATGCCACTACATACTTACATATCTTTTGAACATGTTGTCTGTTTCCCCAATAGTAACATCATTGAGCAGGACTTTTGTAACTGTATCAACGCCCTCAAAAATCAAATTTACTTTTTGCCATTTGCTAAAAAAAAGAAAAGATTTTTAAAATAAGACATATAAAATATTAACTTAGATGAGTCTTTTTTTTAACTAGTTAAGAACTAAACAAATAAATAATTCACAGAAAATACACATTCTTAAAACGCAGTTTCCAATGAAATTTTGAAAAGTTTTGGTTTAATACCTTTTATGTTGAATGATCTGGCATATCTTTCTTCATAATATATATATGTATTTTTTTTTGGTGAGGAAGATTGGCCCTGAGCTAACATCTGTGCCAGTCTTCCTCTATTTTGTACATGGGACACTGCCACCACAGCATGGCTTGATGAGCTGTGTGTAGGTCCACACCCGAGATCCAAACCCGTGAACCCCAGGCCACCGGAGAGGAGCACATGAACTTAACCACTAAGCCACCAGGCCGGCCCCTCTTTCTTCACAATATTTTAATCACCATAAAATCAAAAGTACAACTTACAATTTCCAAATGCACTCACTTTTTTCTAGCCCTTCTTAAAGTTCTTATGAGAACCAAGTTAAACAACAGACACACAATGTTTTTATAAACTATTGCATTTACTGACGCTACCTAAGAAAACACATTAACCAACTAACAAGTATCTGTGAGCGACTGGGATGTGCCCAGCACGCTGCTAAGCCTTACGGGGAACTAAAATGGTCTCGGAATTTAAGGAGTCTGCAGTCTGGTTGGCACTCAAGCCTAAAACACAGCAAACAAAGAGAAAACTTTCACTCTCTTCTGCTTCATGGTGCAGTTTTCTTGGAGAGGCTGCAAGTGCTATCAGAGTGTATGTCATAAGGAAAGCCTTCAAGAAGGAAACAGGAACTTCAATGACAGAATAAATAAAATGTGGCACGTCCCCAAAATAAAACACTATTCAGCAATAAAAAGAAATGAAGTACTGGTAAATGTGACAACATGAATGGACTGTGAAAACATTGTGCTCAGTGAAAGAGGCCAGACACACAGGACCACATACTGTATAATTCCACTTACATGAGATTTCCAGAAAAGACAAGTCTGCAGAGATAGAAAATAAACTAGTGGTTGCCTAGGCTGGGATAGGGATGGGGGAGAGGGGTGTGGAGAATGTGGAATGACTGGTAATGGGTGTAGCTTTCTTTTCGGGGTAAGAAAATATTTTAAAATTTATTGATGGTTGCACTACTCTGTGAATATACCAAAAAACACAGAATTGTACACTTTAAATGGGTGAATTATAATGGTATGCAAATTATATTTCAAGTTATTTTTTTTTAAATGAGTAGAAATATGTAGGTAGAGGGCAGACCCCTAAAGGGAGAGTAAAATCAAACAAGGCAATGCTAACAGCATCAAGAACATCACGGTAACAGGCTTGATTCGGTGTAGAAGCAGTGCTGGGCAACTAAGGGGATAAGGCTGGGCAGGTCCGCAGGCAGAGGGGATACAGGACACGGTACCAGCCTGGGCAACAGTAAGCAGTATTTTCACAGACAGGCAGAGAAGACTAAACTTGATTTGCAAATCAAAAGGCAGACACTGTGGTAAACTCAATATTTGGGGAAGGTGAGTCTAATGTTTGTACATATGAAAGAAAAGAGAATGAAAAGACAAAGCGAGAAATTTAGTTAGGCAGCTTTGGCCCAATTCCAGGCACTCACTAATAAAGGCCTAGGCAAAGGTGGAAACTTGGAAATGAGGAAGAAGGGGCTGAATCAAGAGAAACGACAGAAGAAAGTAACAGGACTCAGAAACAGATGGAATACAGGAAGATGAAGGAAAGATATGATGAGCCAAAAGCACCTTAGGCGTAGAAGACTGGAACAAGGGTGTTACATTAAGAGAAGCAATGAGGCTGTTAGAACACAAAGTAAGCTTTAAGTGAGCAAGCCACCTGATGAAATTTTGGATACGCTGAGTTCAAGATGAAAGAGGACCCCTAATAGAGATATTTTAAGTATTATCTAGAAGTAACAGCCTAGAGCACATTAACTCCGTGATACTGAGCACCATAATTCTGGCTTTATTTCTTTTTCAAGGGGCTAGTGAATAATTACCAAAACAGTCATATAAAAGGGACAGAAGGATTTTTTTTTTTTACATTTAGCAATAACGGTGGTAGATATAATTGGGTTACATTCTGCTACACAGAACATTACTGAAAACTATGTCATGCTTTTCCTGACAGCCTCATGAGGCTTCATATCCGGCCAAGGCTCTCTTAACACCACATCGAACAAATGATGTGTCTGTGATCTTACTTGACCATATTATAAATATATACACTCTTATTGATTACTGGGGGCAGGGAGAAGGAGACGCAAATAAGAGGATTGACTCAGCCTAGGTGACTCCATTATAATCACTGGAAAAATGACTGAATAAGACATAATTTAGTGACTGACGATCAGAGGCACCATCCTCATATACAAATCAACACATAAATCACAAATTCACTCTTACACAAGGCTTTAGTCTGACAACTCTCTGATATGAAACCTAAACTAACAAAAGATTATTGCAGAGACAGAAAAAGAAGAAAAGCTCAAATAATAATAATTAGTAAACTTATATATACAGGTATACACACATAAGTACCTAATGTCAAAGGGGATTTTAAATTCCTTGCTGTAGGTCCAGTTATCCAAGGAGATCCATCTGTAGCTAAGGTCATTAAATCTGTAGTACGGATCCTGTGGATAAAAATTATAGTAGATGATTAAACACACAAAAATAAATTTATTAAATTAACATGAAATAAATTATTAATGATAGTTAATCACCTAAAATTTAATAAACTCTTGACCTAGGAGCACAAGCATTTCATATGCTGGCACATGGCATCCTTAAGGCTAGCGCTCTGCCCACGTAAGAGATCATTACCTTTCAAACAAAGCGGACATGGCATTTGCAACCTAAAAATACTAAAAGATGTAAAAAAAAAAAAAAAAAATCCAACAAAATACCTAAAAGGAAAGAGCTCTGAGATGGAAATAATATAGTTTCATTTACAAAGAACACGTGTGGAGATTAAGGTTGGCTTCCCTTGTTAAAGGCAAACACAGACCCTCCGAGGCTCTGGCAGGGAACAGAAGGCCTTCTGGGGCGTGGCCCTCAGCCCCGGCGCCCCGCGGGTGTCACTGTGCCTACTGCTGCCACTGTCCCTGGCGGTCTCCAGGGGGAATGCTTTTTCCTTGGATTCACCAAGCATTCCCAAAGTTACTTTTCACTCTGCTTCACTAAGTGAGCACGAAAAGGATCTCTACAGAGAACACACAGGCAGCACAGATCCGGTCGGACTGCCCAACTTCAAGCTGCCTCCATTACCCAGGCCAGGTCAGCGAGCCTCAGCCCATGGGCCAAACGCAGCTCGCTGCCTGTTTCTGGGTGGCCAGCGAGCTAAGAACGGACACGTGGCAATAAATAAAGTTTTCTTGGAGCAGTGCCATGCCCATTCCTTTGCAAATTAGATACAGCAGCTTTCACACTGCAATAGCAGAGTTGAGCAGACATGACAGAGACCACATGACCCAGGAAGCCTAAACCGTATCTGGCCTTTGACTGAAAATGGTTGCAACCTCTGCCCTAGATGCCTGGCCTGCTGGGCGCTCACAGATGCTGTTCCACCCGAGTGCCCAGCCTCCAGTCCTCTCTTTCATAACCCTTAGGTCTTTCTTCTCCACCTCGTTCTCCACCCTTTATCTCTCAGATGAGAGCGCCTAGACAGGAGCAGAACAGAAAGGGGTCAGCGCAGCTTTTCAGGTCATCTGTCTGTGAACACCACCACGGCTACACAGAGGGCAACCGTGGGGGCAGGGCCAAGGGCCATTTCCTCAGGGACTGCAAGTCCAGGTGTTGAAAGAAGAGCCAATTTGGTCTAAGGTCCGCAGAGGTCAGGGCTGGACCACAAAGTCAGGTGGGCGAGGAGCAGGCGGGCACTTGCCCAGAGCACAGATCTGCACGAGGCCCTGCTACATCCCTGGGTGCATCTCCAGACGGAGAGAAAGGAGCTGCCAGCAACCGCTCCTACCGGAAGAAAGATCCTGATAAGCTAGAGGAGGGAGTAGTTGATAAGGTTTAATAACAGCTGATAATCACCAAACTGACTTTTAAATGGGGTGTGCCAGGCCCAACAAATTTGCTTCCTTTTCTGCTCCTCACCCATACATTGACTCAGCCTTTCTAATGAATAAACATGGAACAAATATTTAAGAACATAGGTTTGAAGAGGCACCTAATTACTAGCCTGCATGCGTCTCCACCCAGCCCTCTGTCTAACTCTACACTGTGTCCTCACTCCAACACAGTTAAAAATATCATGCGAAGGAAGACACGAAGGCCAACGCCAATCTGCTAAGCTGGGGCTGGCTGACAATCTGGCTGGCTGGGCATGAAGCCCCTTCCTGTCTCCAGGCTCCTTGAAGGAAACTGTATGTTGAGTTCAAGAGCGCAATCGTTTCAGAATTTTTTTCTAAACAAACAGAATTTAGGGGTTAAAATTTTTCTCTTACTTAAAAGAAGCCAATCTGAAAAGGCTACATACATACATACTACATGATTCCATGACATTCTGGAAAAGGCAAAACTATGGAGACAGTAAAAAGATCACTGGTTGCCAGGGAGTAAGGGGTAGAGAGGGATGAATAGGCAGAGAACAGAGGATTTTTAGGGGAGCGAACTACTCTGAATGAAACAATCACAGTGGATACATAGTACCATACATTTGTCCAAACCCACAGAATGTAGGCCGTCAAGAGAGAACACTAGCGAACACTGCAGACTCCAGTGATGAGGATTCGTCAGTGTAGGTTCACTGATGGTAACAAATGTAACACCCTGGGGCGGATGCTGATGAGGAGGCTGTGCATGTGTGGGTGTATATGGAAACTATTTGTATTTTCTATTCCATTTTGCTGTGAACCTAAAATTGCTCCCCAAAATAAAGTCCATTTAAAAAAATTTCTATTACTAAGGGAAAATACCTTAACCTCCCTAAAATAAAAGTTACAGAGGCTTAGATTACATTTATAATAACTATTCCAAACGGTAAGCAACCATCTTTATTTGGTTCCAGATTGGTCTGACCGCCTTTGCTCATGTTAAAACTCTGAGTCTTATTTAAAGCAAACGGCAGCTCAGCACCCCATCTAATGACTAAGGACCCATGGAAGTTGCTGAGCTGTTGGCAAACCCATGAACCCTAAAAACAGTAACAGTATCATTTGTTGACCATTTACTATCTATCAGCTCCAGGAGAGGCACTCACACACTCTTATCTTTGGAACAAGCATGCGCAGTAAATTCCTAAGACTGAAGGAAAAAAGGCCAGAAAAACAGCCATAAGAGCACCTCGGGAGCCTCGTATCACTGTACTGATTCATGACAGTAATTTTAAAACAACAGCTGTGAAGTCTCCGTGTATATGTCTATGTGTAAGTTACGTATCTGTGCTATTTTACCTCCAGATGGCATACTTTCTAAAGAGCTCTGTTTAATTGGCTTAAAGTAAGCACTTACATAAATTATTTCTAAACGCAACAAACCCAGACATCTTTCAAGTTAACGTGATACGAACTAATCTTTGGTAAATGAAAGCTTGTTTAAATTTGTTGGTTTGATTGAAATAGGCACATCCTCAAAGTTGTCAGTATGTGGGTATGATGCAGCTGGGCACCCTCATTCCACATCTATTGGTCAAATAAGCTGATGCTATCTCTGTTACAAAACTGGTGAGCAAAAATAATCACTTAAACTGATGTCAAATTTTGCCTAATGTCTCATGAAGTTTTGTAGGCAATCTAAATAATTACTGGGAATGCGTAAACTACATAGATGTGAAAAAAATAAAAGCGTTGGGAGAACTTCTCAAAATAATTGTTACGGCATGTATATTTAAGATAACTTTCAAAATCTCTCTGGTAACTTGAAATTTTGAAGTTTTGCTAGGTGAAATTAAATGATAAAAATTCACTGAATATCTAGGTCATTTTCAAACAGGATAAAATACTGAAACATTATTGCTAACATGTAAAGTTTATCTACTTTTGGCTTCTTATTATGGAGAAACTAAAAGTTGTTTGGGTCTATTTAAAAATGTCTTGTATTTTATTAAAGGGTTGCACTGTGAAATAACATGTTTCTAGAAATTATAAAAAGTATTTATAAAATTTGCCAAGTCACAGAATGCTAATGTAAAAGAGTTTATAATTGCTTACTTCTTGGTTTTCACTAAAAATTAAGGTCTATAAGGGTTAAAAATTCTAATTAATATATGTGATTAAAGTTACTAAAGATTAATACGGAAAACATGTTTGAATTCAAAGAAAATAAGATGTATGTTTTCAGTAAAGAAGGTACAAAGAACGGAAATAGTTTTGTTTCTTTTATTAAAAAAGATAAATTTATCCCAAAGTACTAGGAGGGAAACTAAGATTAAAATGAATTTAGTTACGTGAATAAGTTTTAATATCAGAAGTAAGCTGGGACAAAAATTATAATTTGTTTTTCTCTTTCCCTTAAAAAGGATAATTTTCCTGGACTTTTAGTCTACTTTTGATAAAGAGATCATAAAAGGTTTTCTTTACTTTTGAGTGAGTCTTACTTTAGTTAAATGGATAACTAAGCATTGTTTCACAGCAACAAGACCAGAAACCCCTTTGACCAAATGTTTTAAAATCTTTTGATGTTATTGACAAGCCCCCAAAATTCAAATGAAGTCCCTCTTTGGACTTAAAAAAAAATTTCTCTGAGAATTCTCAGAGCCCCTGGGACTTTTCAAAGAAATCTGTTCTCTCTTCCTATAAAGCAAGGCACACTAATTAGGCTTATTTGGTATGCTAAATTACATGGGAAGCATGGCCAAGTAAAGGATGATAAACTCTCTTAGGTTATATTGCATAGGTAAATATTATTCACTATCTTAACCCTGCTACCTTGCTTCCAATATCACAAGAGGAAAAGACTACGACTGCATTCTATTATCTAATTCAGTTTACAGATGGGTCTTACTTAAATGATAAGCAAGGATGCTATCAAGTTGGATATGCTGTCCAGCCTCGAAAATACCTGCTACTTTCTATTAACTCTGCTAACCCAGCAAAAGATTTCCTCCCTACAGGCTCAAGAAATTACCACCGAAGAGAAACAAAGGTGGCAACAGAAGAGGGAAAACAATACTTTTCGATACTTTCTCCCACAGCAGCTCATAAAGCCTGTACTCATTGCCCTATATGACCAAAATATAATCTAGGGAAACTATTTCATGAATCACAAGACCATTTTCCCCTTTCTAAGGGACCCTTTGAGGTGTGGCAATTGGACTTTGTTAAAATGCCACCATCTCATGGATAAATATATCTTGTGATGACCTGTATGTTCTCACATTGGGTTGAGGCTTTTCCTTACAGAAGAGCAATGGCTTCAGGTAAATTATCATTGAAAAGGATAACTCCTGTTTGAGGAATTCCTGCCGAGTTTACACAGTGACCAGGAAACCCATTTCACTGGACAAATAATTAAATCTATTTGTGACATTTGGCCAATAATACAACATTCTAATTAACAGCACAATCAAAACTCAATGGGCAAAGCTTTCGGAAGCATTCCATCTCTCACGGCCAAAAGCTCCTCCACTAGTGCTCCTCAATCTCAGATCACACCCTCGGTAAACAGCAGCTGTCCGCTCTCGAGAGAG